TCAAAGGGTAACAACTATTTTAAATGTTGAGTTTAAAATTGAGAGCCTCTTTCATGGTAAATTAACTGTCAGCACATGACTTTGTTCTGAAGTACAGAAACTCCTGCTTGAGCACTACTGCCTTATTGCAACCCAAACTGTATGTCACAGGGAGAAAATATTTTTAAGAAGCCAACCCCAAATCATGGCAAATTCAACAAGCTGAAGGCAGTACCTTGAACTGTGTGGAAACCAGTGTATTTGCTTCAACATCAGTGCTGAGCATTAAGCATTTATACACTCCCAAATTATTCCTTCAGCTGCTACCCTATCCAGAGCATTCAGCAAGCAAAGGCATTAATCACAGCAGAAAAATCTTTAAAGACCGTCTCAGTCTAACCAGGTGAAGAAAAATGGTTCTGGCTCTTAACAGACGTCTAACACAAGTCAAGGTGTGAATTAACAGAAACAGCTTCTGTAGAAAAAAGCACAGATGTAATCTTTGCCATGTCTCCTAGGTATCTTGTCCTCCAACAAATTAATTCTTATCTAGGCGGCTCTTCAGCCAACTAGATTTAATTTGAAGCCTTGCATTAAACACAAAATAACCATAAACGCCTCTTTACACTCTATGAAATTGTCCTGTGGCATTTCATGTGATCTTAAGCCCAATATGACCCCATAGGAATAAAGAATTGTGTGCATGTAGCACTGTTCTGTTATGCTGCACACAGTAATCCCAGAATAATCCGTTTGTAGGACAGAATTCAAAATAATGGTGTCTTTTCACCTGTTACCACAGGACCATTATCTGCTGAGAGAAATAACTAGTGCCAGTCTAGTCTAAAACCAGAGTCATCTCTTTTCTTTTTGATGCTAAAGAGAGCCGTCCGTGATAAAAAGTCAACTGAAAATTGTTGTGAGAAAATGGTTTTCCCTCAAGGCCATTGGAAGTCTAGCTACATAAATATAAAATGCTATACGTGTGGAATTAAAGCAGTTAAAAAGCAGAGCTGAAGAACTAGAGAACCAGGAGAATTAGTCTCCTTCAATTATTTTATCTCTTCAAGTTGCTGCTCTATTGGATTTGTTTAAGAAACAAAGATTGCATTTACCACTGATCAAGGAAACAGCCTCAGGCCCCAGGCAGCCAGTGCACGGTAACGCACATCCTTGCCCTGCGCAACGCTCGGTTTAATAACCTGACTTATTTCACACATGAAAACTTGGGAGTTTTTGATAACACCCTAAAATTGCAGTAGCACGGTAGGAAGTGGGGCATAGCACGTTGAAGATACGCACGCAGGAGAACTCCATCCTCAGAACTGAATCCCGTTTTCTCCATGGAGGAGCAAGCCTTGCAACAACAAGGAGAAATGAACGTACGGATAAGTGGGGGCTGTGGGGGGTGCAGGGAGCCAAGCTGAGATACACAGATACGCAGCTGAAAAGCTGTGTGTGTCTTCAGCTAGAATGACTCCACTCTAAAAACTAGGACCCTACACTAATTTTGGCATTTACTTCATTTTCTTCTTCATGAATGACCAGCTTAAATTAAAAAAAAAAATAATCTTTTAAATAAAAACCAGCAGCTCACAGCTGATTAGGGCTCCAACAATGCTTTCCCTTGCTTTCCCTGTGTCTACCAGTGAATTGGGACCTCAGTTTACATCCAGCCCATAGTCTTCGAGTGCACTGTCCAAATCTTCCAAAAAAAAAAAAAAAAAAAAAAAAAAAAAAAAAA